CAAGAGGGGATTGTACTGGGGGGGAGGTGGGGCAGGGAGAAAATTGCTACAATGAATGAATGGAAATCCAAAGTCTCCATACATTTTCATTGAAATTAATAATAAAAAAAATTATTTTTTAAAAAAGAGAGCAAAAGAGAATTACAAAGACAGAGGAGAACAGAAAAACCGAAACAGATATCAGAAGAAGCTCTAAAATTTACACTAAAGAGTTAGGAAGCCCAATGAAAGGGAAGAAAGCTGAAGTGAAAGAGCTGAACCGAAGATTTCAAAAGGCAGCTTGAGAAGACAAAGGAAAATGTTATAACAGAAAGTGTAGAGAGCTGGAATTTGGAGAATAAAAAGGGAAGAACTCACTCTACATTTCTGAAATGAAATAATTGAAAAACTGAGTTGTAATACTGAGAGATGCCTATCTGTGGGCAAAATCTTGAATGATCCAGGAAGCACCAACAGAAGATGGAGGGAATACAGAATCACTGTTAAAAAAAATGGCTGATACAGATGTATTTCAGGAATTATCAAATGATCAAGAGCCAATGGTAACGAAAGAAGAAGTTGAGGCTGCACTAGAGGCATCAGCAAAAACAAGACCCTAGGAATAAACGAAACACTAATTGACATACTTCAAATGATAGATTTGAATGAAATGCTCATCAGTCTGTGCTAGGAAGTTTAAAAGACAGCTAATAGACTGGAAGAGATCTGCATTTGTTCCCATTCCGAAGAAAAGTGATCCAACACAATGTGGACATTATCAAACAATATTATGTGGAAGCAAAATACTGCTGAAGATCACTTAAAAACAGCTTGAACAGTACATAGAGAATTGCTGCAAGTTTAGGCTGGATTTTAAAGAAGCCGTGGCACCAGGGATATCATTACTATTAACAAATGGATTCTGACTCAAAGCAAAGAACCCTAGAAGAATTTCATTTGTGCTTTATTAGCTATGCAAAGGCATTTGACTATGTGATTCATAACAAGTTATGGCTAACATTAAGAAGAATCAAAATCCCAGAACACTTCCTTGTGCTCATGTGAAACTTATACCTAGATTAGAAGGCTGTTGTGCAAACAAAGAGAAGGAACCCTATATGAAGTTAAGGAAGTCATATGTCAGGGATGTGCCCTTTTCTCTATATCTATTCGCTCTGTATGTTGAACAAATTCTTCAAGAAGCTGGACTCCATACAGCAGCTGAATCAGAGGAAGACTCATCAATAAAGCTTTGTTATGCAAATGACACAACCTGGTTTGCTGAAAGTGTTTGCTGCAGAAGCCCAAAGACTACAGCCTTCAATATCTTTTACCTCTCAACATGAAGAAAACAAAAAATTCTCACCTCTGGACTGATAATCAACATCACTTTAGATGGAGAAAAGATTGAGATTGCCAACGATTTCATCTTATTTGTAGCCACAATCAATACCCTTGGTCAGAAGACCAGCAGACAAATTGCACTGGCAAAGTTTATTGTCAAGGACCTCCCCAAATTACTGAGAAGCAATGATGTCAGTTTGAAGACTGATGCATCAGGACTGGATGATGATTCATCAATATCCTACATTACATACATGACACAACCTTGCTTACAAAATAAAAAGACCTGAAACACTTCAACATCAAGATGGATTATACTTTAACATCAAGAAACCAAAGATCTGCACCACTGGACCAATAGGTAACATCACGATTGAGAAAAAGATCGATGTCAACAATTTCCTTTTACTTGGGTCCACACAAACACCCATGGTAACAGCAGTCAAAAGGCAAGGGTACACTGTGCTCGTTTTGGCAGCACATACAGTAAAACTGGAATGAAACAGAGAAGATTAGCATGGCCCCTGTGCAAAGATGACATGCAAATTTATGAAGCATTCTATATTTTGCAGTGGCCATCTGATACGCCCACTCCCATTACCCTAGTTACTGTGTCAATTCTCATCAGGATCTTCCTTGCCTGCTTTGTCCCTCTACCCTTTCAAGCATGATGTCCTTCTCCAAGGACTGGTCCCTCTTGGGTAATGTGTGTCTGTGTCTGTGTGTCAATCTTCACAGTATCTGCTGTTAAATGTTTGCTATTACTTTGTGCCTCTTTACTGTTTGCAACCTTATATTGGTAGGTAATCTCTATATTTGAATGTTTTCACTGATAAAAAAAAAGACATGTTGCACTGAGACCTGTTGTGGAGGACCTCTCCAAGATGCTCAAGAGCAAGGATATCAATTTAAAGACAGGTGTGCCAGTTTTTAAAGCAATTTTTAAAAATTGCTTCCTACACATCTGAAAGTTCGACAATGAATAAAGAAGACCAAAGAATCAATGTCTTTGAATTATGGCGTTGGTCAAGAGTAGTGAATACCCCATGGGCTGCCAAAAGAACAAAAAGAATAAGTCTTAGAGGAAGTGCTACCGGAGTGCTCCTTAGAGACAAAGATGGTGAAATTTCATCTCATTTGTTGCTATTTGGTCAATTCCCTAGTTTGCCCTTCTCATACAGACAAAGGAATTATGACAAATGGAAAAGGCTAGAGCAGGAGACGGTGTCCAAGCACCAACATACCACAGTGTGTAGTATTTCAGGATTTTGGAAGAATAAACTTTAGTGCATAGAGTATTAAGCCAAAGCTTTTTGCTAGAGCAAAAGACCGACAAGCAAAACAAGGAGGCAGAAGCAGAGGTAAAAAATAAAGATAGATTTATTAGAAAGTTACATTCCAAAGGTATGGACCTTACTCCTGAAAGGAAATTGGAGGAAAGGCAGAGGGCTAGTGAAGTGAGGTGGTATTTTCCCTCAGCTGGGCAGGCCTTGGGGGCTGGAGCCTGGACCAATGAGAGGATGCCACGAGGTTTCAAAAGTGTGTACTGCTTCTGACATCACCCCTGAGCCCAAAGCACTAATTCCATGCATGCCCATGTTGGCTTCCTGGTTATGACACCTCAGTTTTCCAAGCATAAACTTCTGCTTCTTATCTTCTTGGTGCCAAACCTAATACCATTATTTTGAGCATATTTTCAAGATGAACAAAACTTTCAGAAAAAAAAAGACATCCTTCTGGGAAAGGTGTAGGGGTCAGGGAAAGAAAAGAAGACCTTCACTAAAATGGATTGACCCTGTGACTACTACAATAGCCTTGAGTATGAACGACATCATGAAGATGGTGCCAAACAGGGTCAGGTTCAGATCTGTTCAGAGGGAGGCTATGAGTTATAGTCCACTGGAAGGCTGACAACATACTCATTTCAAGAATGTTTCACCATGTGTCCACTTTCCTGATGATAAGTGTTTGCATTGTTTCCAGTTCTCTTTACTATGTTACTATATATTACTATGTTAACTAATGTTAACATTCTTACAGCATGTCAAGGTGGCCTAGGATAGCACAAGCTGTTGGATATTTACAACAAAATCTAGACTGGAGAAACTAAGGAAGCAAGAGAAGAACAGTTCCTGGGAGCAAAAAATCCCCAGTAGAGTTTTATATGTGTTTTCTTTTAAGAAGTCCCTGAGACTTCTTAAAGGTTAAAGGTTCTTTTAAATTGGTGTTGTGTGACTCCAGTTGGACAGAGGGCAGTTGAAGCTGGATACGAAATGACAGATTGGAAGAAGGTTTAAAGTCCTTCTTGCACTTCTCCCATGGCTTTGGGCATTTATTGCTTTTCAGTGATGAATCAACCTCAACAGCAATCAATACTCAAGTCCTTTTCTTGGTATATGGTTTATTGGGGGAGGGGCTGTGGGAGTCTCAGCTGAGTCAGAGTCCTGTTGGGAATGGACACGACATATTTACATTCACCTTATAATACTGGACAGCCACACAAGAGATGTTCAATTGCATTCTCATACAGATAAATTCTAGGGGCCCACAGAGCCAAAGGAGGTAGGCACCAAAGAGCACAAACTGTACATTAAAGGCAGGCAAACCATTCTGTACCGTTCCAAGTCGAGGAGTGGGTCTCCTCTGGGGCAGAAGGAACTTTTGGGAGTCTGGTGACGTTTTGGGTAATGCTTATATGATATACAAAACTCATATTCTTCAACATAAATCCCCAAACTTCAAAACAACTGAAAACCCTATTGGGTTGAGGAGTTAGTGAAAACAGGTCAAGGAATTTACTCTATCATCTTCCAGTAGTCTAAACACCGCGGGCTAGTAATCTGGGAACAAGACAATGAATTCTTCCCAAAGTGGCCTCACCACACCACAGCCCAAACCAATCAAATCAGAGTTCTCAGTAGGGTACATATCGAGCTGGGCTGTTAACCCCAAAAGTAGTGCCTCCTTTGCCGTTAGAATCCACCAGCTGCTTTGGGGAGAAAGAAGGGCAATCTCTTCCCTTGTAATTTACAGCCTCTAAAAAAGGTCAGGAGCTCTGGTGGTCTAGAGGGAAGAAGCTGCCCTGCAATCTCAGAGATGCTCGGTTCGAATCCACCAGTTGCTCAGCTGGAGAAGGAGGGACAATCCAGTACCAGTCAGATCCCATTTGACGGCACACACACAGACACACAGACACACACACACACACACTAATTTAAAAAAATAAAAATTAAAAAAAAAAGTCAACTATGGGTCGTTCCTACTCAATGGCACCGAGAGAATGTTCTGCCCACGAAATAAAAATGGGGTTTATGCTGTCCCTTCAAGATATGAGAAATGTTAGTAATCTGAGAGCCACAAGTGATTCCAAATGCGAATCACAGCTTTAAGGTTATGACTCAATAGTAATTAATTGAATTGAGTTCAGCCAGAGGGCAGCCTGATGTGTCCATCTAGTGGGAGTGCCCCACGTGGGTCGCCCGGGACTTTGGAGGGAGAAGAAGCACCGCACTTCGCAGGTCTGGCCATGGGCCCATCTGGGCGCGTCCTCTACTCTATGGTATTTCCTGTGACTCTCTAACCTCTCAACATTGTCTCCATGGTTTCTCTTGGTCTTACCGGACGTGACGTCGCCCCGCCCCGGAAGCACCTGGGGAGGCTCAGGGATCTGCGGCGCGATGGCGGCGGCGGCTGTGCCGGAGGCCTGGCCGGAGCTGGAGCTGGCGGAGCGGGAGAAGCGGCGGGAGCTGCTGCTAACGGGGCCGGGCCTGGAGGAGCGGGTGCGGGCAGCGGGCGGCCGGCTGCCCCCGCGGCTCTTCACGCTGCCGCTTCTGAACTACCTGGAGGTGAGCGGCTGCGGCAGCCTGCGCGAGCCGGGCCCGGGGCTGGCGCAGGGCCTCCCGCAGCTGCACAGCCTCGTGCTGCGGCGCAACGCGCTCGGACCCGCCCTGAGCCCCGAGCTCGGGCCGCTGCCCGCTCTGCGGGTGCTGGACCTCTCGGGCAACGCGCTGGAGGCGCTGCCCCCGGGCCAGGGCCTGGGCCCCGCCGAGCCGCCCGGCCTCCCGCAGCTGCAGAGTCTCAACCTCAGCGGCAACCGGCTGCGCGAGCTGCCCGCGGATCTGGCGCGCTGCGCCCCGCGCCTGCAGACCCTCAACCTCACCGGCAACCGTCTGGACTCTCTTCCCGCCACGCTCTTCCAGCCCGGCGCGCTGCCCCTGCTCAGCGAACTGGCCGCTGCAGACAACTGCCTCCGAGAGCTCAGCCCTGACATCGCCCACCTGGCCTCCCTCAAGGTCAGCGAGGCTGCGCGGGCGGGCCGGGGTGGGGGCTTGGAGCCGCCTTGGAGAGGGAACGCCTCCCCTCGGTGGCTGAGCCGCCCTGGAGACGCCCTGCGGGCCATTAAGCCATGAACAACCCTGCTGAACTAAAGAGAGCCTTTGTCATCACTTCTGGAAGGTCTCCACCACCCACAGACACGCACCACCTTGACCCCCGCTTCTCCCACCGCCCACAGACACTCACCACCTTGACCCCCGCTTCCCCCACCACCCACAAACACCACCTTGACCCTCACCACCCAGACACACATTACGTTGACCCCCACCACCCACAGACACGTACCACCTTGACCCCCGCTTCCCCCACCACCCACAGACACACCACCTTGACCCTTACCACCCAGACACTCACTACCTTGACCCCCGCTTCCCCACCACCCACAGACATGCACCACCTTGACCCCCTCATTCCCCACCACCCACAGACACTCACCACCTTGACCCCCCTCATTCCCCACCACCCACAGACACGCACCACCTTGACCCCCACCACGCACAGACACGCATCACCTTGACCCCCGCTTTCCCCACCATCCACAGACACGCACAACCACCCACAACCTTGACCCCCACTTCCCCCACCACCCACAGACGTGCACAACCGCCCACAACTTTGACCCTTTTATCTTCTACCCCACACATGCAGACCAGAATGAGCGGGTTGCATACTGAACTCTCACGACCAAGTTTGTTCATCACCTGTAATGATTAGAAGTTCTGGAAGTTGACCTTTGATTTTTCTGTATCTCCACTTGGCCTTGCCAGCAGGATGGTCTGACTTCTCCATGGAGACTCAGAGTTGCCCTGAGCACAGAAGCTGAAACTGCTAGGATTTCGTCAGGCTAACACCTGGATCATCTCCCCTCCCAATCACTTTTTCTCTCTTTTGATTTAATAATCTCTCACATAGTCTAGATTCAAGAATGTGGGCAATAGAAGGTATGGTTCTGTGGGGCCCACTACAGTAATAGTACCAGGACCCCCGGAGGGAATCAGGCTGCTAACCCCATCTTTTACCTCTGGAGCAGCTGGTGGATTTGAATCACCAAGTCTCCTTCCGCAGTGACTGACGGCCTTGGAAACCTGATGGAGGGTCACTGTGAGTGGGAGTGGACTCAGTGACAGTGGACCGAGCGCACCTGTTTTTTGGTTAAAGCCCATAGTAGCAAAACCCTCTATTTCTCCTTGGCCCCCTAGAGGAGTAGAGATTGAAAAGGGAAGCTTCTTGGCCCTAGCACTTAGTGCTCACTTCCCAGACACGTTACTGAGAAAGTCCTGGCCCTCTTTTCCACTCCCGCCACGTGGAGAAGGCACCTGAAGAGGCGGCAGCCCCATTGCTATCCTTTCAAACTTTCCAGGTAACAGCCCACCAGCAAATGTGACTTCATTGCTAAGGCTTCTGACTCACTCACTTTAACCTCCCTCTTTGGTCAAGAGTTGCAAGAACCCAGGGAAAACTTACTTGCATGGGTCCGCTTACTTTGGTTCTGCTGGAACTGCCAAGAGGGTGGCCAGTCGGGCGTGAAGTGACATCCTCATGTCCAGCCATCCCCTCTTGTTTTCTCTCTTCCCCTGGGTCTAGGTACCAAGCAAGAAGGACTCTTTCTTCATTGCTGGTCTGTGTGACCCTTTATCTGTGTGACCTTTGACTTTGACTCAGCCATGCAGAGCTGCATCTAAACAAATGGCCAGTGCTGCCAGCCCCACTGGCTCCTTACTCTTGTGGGTTTGTCAGGTCTCTAGAATAGCAAACCAAATTCATGTTAAGTGCTGTGTTTACATTAGCATAGGGGAATTCTGGCAAGGCCTGGGAGATTCCGACCTGGTGCTCTCATTGTCCCTCACTCATGCCCTGTGTGAATGTTCTCACTCACCCAGGAGGCCCTGGAAAGGGCTTGATGGTTGGGTCCCCTGGTCATTAGGACTTTAGTGTCTGCATGACTGCATCAGGACCAGGTGTCCCTGCTTGCCAGCTGTTCTGGAAAACAAGACATCTTTAAAAAAAAATTCATTATTGCACTTTTTCTTTCCTCCTCCTCTTTTCCCTCCCCCAGTCCGCTTTGTATTGCACTTCTTGTTCCAGATTATTGTCATGTATTACCCAGTCATAAATTGTTCAGACTTTTCTCCTCCTCAGCTATTCCTATGCATTGTTCATTATTTATCTACTCTTTTTCTATTCTTCCCCTAACTCCTCTTGCCAGTCCTATTTTGTAACAGTGGTGTTATGCAGTTTTTGTCTTTTTGTGACTGAGCTCCTTCACTCAGCAGAATGTCCTCCAGGCTTACCCATGTTGTGTAATATTTTATGAGTTCTCTGTTTTCACTGCTGGATAATAATCCATGTGTGAATGTACCATAGTTTTTCTGTCTATTCTTTTGTGGTTTTTGTTTGGTTGGGTTTTTTTAACATACTAGTTTATTTACAAAGTTAGAATACTTTGTTTTTGAGAACATCCATTCATTTGTTGATGGGCAGTTGGGTTGCTTCCGTCTCAGCTATTTGAATAACATAAACATGGGTGTGTACATCTGTTTGAGTTGTAGCTCTGATTTTTTTAGGGTATATTCCTAGTAGTGGAATTGCTGGGTCAAATGGGATTTCTGTTTCCAGCTTCTTGAGAAAGTGCCAGACGGCCTTCCATAGTGGTTGTACCAAAACCAAGGCATCTTATTTGCTTGAGTTCAGAAACCAGAGTCAAAGGGGAGAGTCAAGTTCTTGTTCGTAGATGGGCAGGACTTACGTCCTTTTAACTCGATTCAAGGTGGCACAATGGTTAGTAGAAAGACTACACTCTCTAAGAATCCTCCCACTGAGGGTCATGCCGCTTAGGTTGGTCTGATGGTCCAGATGATAGGGTGATGAGATTGTTCTTGCATATCAGCCCACCCCCAACGTAGGAAATTTTAAAAAAACGTAACCAGAACACCTTTTCTCACACAGTGTACTGTAGATTGCTAAAAGAACAAAGAAATCTGACCTGGAGAAAGTGTAGCCAGGGTGCTCCTTAGAGGGAAAGATGGTGAACCTTCATCTCCTGTACTTTGGGCATGTTGAGAAGAGGCGCCAGTCTTCAGAATAGGAAAAGAGGAAGACCCTTGATGAGATAGTGATACAGTGACTGCAGAAATGGGCTTGCGCATGGCAGAAAAGTGAGGAAGGTACAGGTAGGGCAAGATTTCAGTCTTGTTGATAGGGTTGCTGTGAGTTAGGTCAGCCTAACAACACCACCTAGCCAAGGATCATAGAGAAATGGAACTCTGATTGTGAAGCCTCCTGTCCCATGGTTGGAGAAATGAAAGCTTGAGGGGGGGGAACCAGTTCTTTTCTTTTGCCCAATTGCTGTCAGAGGTTGTGGTACTCAAGTGCGTGGCTGGATCATCTTTCACTAGAACCGGGAAGGCTTCTCCAAAGAGAAATTGGTTCATCTCAGTTTGTCATGGCACTAAGATTAGAGTCTCTTTGGCTTGAGTGTGTCAAAGTCTGTGAGGACAGCCTGGGATAGAACAGTGTTTAGATAGGTTGTTGATAGGGTTGTTAGGAGTCCTACACAATTCAAATGTACCTCATGACAACACCATTAGAAAACAGCACTTGCGGGTTAAGAGTGAGGTTTCGTGAACACATTCTGCTTTCACCCAGAGTTGCAGATGGCCCCCCATCACCATGACAGCTGTCAGCCTTGTCAGTATTGGTGCTCCCTGTACAAGAGAATCTTGTATTAAATCACAAACTGCGCATCCCCATTGAGAACTGGTTTCTTGGGTGCACCCTGAGCACCACACACTTGGGCATGTTCTGTTCCAAAAAGTCTGGTTAATAGGAGCACCGATGGGCAAGGATAATGTTGTGGCACCTGTAGGCCAAGTGCTGGGAGGCCACTCCACACTTGTGATGAATCTCCCACAAAGAAAGCATGCTGTTCATACGCTGGGGCGAGGGCTGAGGTGCGTAATTACACAGCCCCCATCAGAAGATGAGCGCCCAGCACTGCTGATGTTGAATGTCTAACATTTGCTCTGATGCTTCATTCCACTTGAGTTTCCTGACGCACCCTCAGTGCTGTAGTGTGTAAGTCTGGCCTCAAGTGACTTGTTACCATTTCCCCATGAGTCGGCCAGTGCCAGGTGGAAGACAGTGCTGGTCTGAGGCAGCTTCTACGCTTCTCAGCGGGACTCTCCCATGTTTCTAACAAGGCTCCCCAAGGACACTGCATGGTCCCACTGCTGCACTTCTCTGCACATTCAGTCCTGAGCTGTGGGTCCCACTATTGAATTGCTGTTCCAGAATGCCCTGTATTTTTGAAGAAGGTGTTCTAGTAGCCTAGTGGCAAGGAACTGCACTGCCAAGCCACAGGTTTGAATCTACCACATGCTCTGCAGGAGGAAGATGTACAGTCTCCTGTGCGATTGAAACCTGCTGCAATCGTAGCTATCAGATGATACACAACAAGCTACAGGAAGAAGACCCCTCTCCACCCTCCAGGCTATGTGCACTTAAATTCTTTGTGCAGAATCCTCAGCAGATTGTGAGGTCTGGTTAATGTTCTGGGACTCATGGTCTGTCAGCTACTCCACTATTTTAGGTGGCTGCGTGTTGACTCCAGGTCAGTGACCCTGTGTGTAGCAAAGCTACAGCACAAAACTGCCAATCGCATGTTGTCCGCCCAGACACCCCTGTGTGAACTTGAGCTCGCTGTGCAGGCTCTGCGTCGGTCCATCTCATTAAAGGTTTTCCAAGCCTGATGTCCTTTTCCAAGGTTGGCCACTCCTGCCAGATCCAGGCCTCACTTTCCTACATGTCCATGCCCCCTAAGGAGCACTCCGGTTCCTTCTTCAAGGCATTTTGTTCTCTTGGCAGTGAGTGGTATATTCAGTATTCCGCATCACCACAATTTAAAGGAACCAATTCTTTGGGCCTCCTGTTCATTGTCCACCTTTCACAAGCTTAAGAA